TATAGAACTCTCATCTCATATAACTATAAGGGTCACTATTTGATAGCTGTCTCAGTACCTTTCCAATTGAACATACTGTTGATTATCTCAGAGACCAACCACGAGGAAATATTGAATAGAATTTCTAGTTAGAGATCGCCGAGTCAATTTTCTAGTGCTTGATAACAATTATAATTCGGGAAATTACATCGGTAATAGCATCAATTATATCCCTTGATTAAAGTAATATATTAAAAGGGAATGCAAACTTATCAACATCGTCCGAGAAACGGCCTAATTTGTGAAGTTATCTTCATGTTCATTAATGGAATTTAGAATAATTTTGCAGGAAATTGTTTCTACTCTATTATAGTGTGACATCTCTCGCGTTCTTCTTCTAACATAACCCTTACGTTCTTTGACGGCCTCGATTAATGGCAAAACTTTTCCAACCCAAATCCAAGAAGTAAAACGAAGCATAGATGCAAATAAGATAACCTTTAAAAGGATGGAAAACTTAGTGAGCAATAATGGCAATTTAGAGAAAGCTCAGTTCGGAAATGATAAAGTGTTGATCGACGGTTTAGAATCAAGACGCCCACCTCGCTAATCTATACAAGGTACATACCATTGTACTACCCTAGGAGAAAGATTTGGATTAGCCTGGACATTGAGTATTCAACCAAGGTAGGGAGAATATATTCTGAACGCTAGTATATTATTGAAACGAGATTAGGCGGATCTAATATATTGATAAGTGATCTAATTTCGCGATCTGAGTTAGTTAAAACTGCGTACTTTGGTTTATTCTCACTTAATATAAGTTTGTTCGATATCTAAGTAATTTAAGTTAAATTCTTAATAACAGTCATATTAAGAATTATAGAATGTCTCATCCTTCCGATAATCCCACACCTCTAACTTACGCGGAAACCCCACGACATAGCTATCGAACGATGGTTATGTCGCAATAGTATCAAATATTCGAAAATTGAGAACTTCATTTTATTCATTCGAATGTTTATTAATCTAAAAATTATGTCTGGATGCATCATATTTCTATTCCTTCATATATGATTCAATTCTTTTTTCGATAGCAATTCAAAATTAATGTGTATTTTTAACTATTCATGAAGAAATAGTGATATGCACATAGCATACGCTTAGGTTATTTTCGAGTGTTACTTTGTCCTTAAAATTCTCCACTTCGAATTCTCCAAAAGATTACAATATTTTAGATATATTTCATCGCGTAGGACTGACCACTTGACTGACTCCAACGCCTAAGGTCCTGTAAACTGAAATGGGAGCAGTAGGCTTGTGACGGGGCTTTATCGCGCATTTTCACTAACCTTTTTGGGGAATCTTTAGGGCCAGAATGGCATTTCAATCCAACCGTCTCAAAAAGAAAACGCCAAATGCAGATTAGTGAAGGATTATATATAATGGAGCTTTTGCATTCGCGAAGAGGTCGTCTGGAGGCCGGAGAGTATTACAGGAGCCATATAGAAGTCGGTTAGAAGCCAGAAAGTTGCATAAAAGCAGGATAAAGTCGGATAATAATATATGTAGAAGATTAATATTAAAGGAATAAAGTACAAGAAGAGGATATAAAGCTTGGTTGCTGATCACTGTGTGATATCGGAAAGAAATTGATCATTAAAGTTTAATTATAGAGCGGACTCTAGCTAGTTAAGGAATCTGCTATAGATAAAGATTCGGAGGTTAATTTATCACAAAAATTGCGAGTAGGATTTCAGACGCTATTTAACTTAGTATTGATAATTACGTCATATCATTCCTGATTCGTTTCTTCCTGAAAGACTTGTGTTGCATTGACTAATATATATTGAGATAATAATAAACTAGATTTATTATAAAAGGGTCGAGTGGTCAATCATTTATCCCTACAAATCTAGGTCACGTGGATGAAGAGATGATACCCTCGAACAGGGGGGGAGATCAGAGGCTTTGGTCCTCAAGGGCTGGTGCACCACTGAGTTCAGTTTAGATGTATTTCGGGAAATATTTTATACTTAAAACAGTGAAGTGACCTTTTCTCTCGGCAAGTTTGAGGTTCAAATGAAAACACTCATGCCTTGTTCAACAGCTGGAGCTAGAGGTAGTGACCCGGATGTGATAAGAAATCACCCCATTATAATTACAAGTAAAATTAAAAAATACAGCAAACTTGTATTCTTCTCTTTTTTTAAATGAAAATGCGTAAGGAAAGATGTAGAATAAAAGATACGTATAAGATGGTTAGCAAAAAACTAAATAAATTTTAACCGTATCTCAAAATTCAAAACCAAATCAGATTATTCTTTAATTACAATCAATCTATTGTAACAATAAAATTAATATTAAGGATTTGTTCTAATACAGTTTGCAAGATTTGTGTTGGAATCAATTGCTGCAGCGAATGAAATAGTTTCTGTTAATTCTCTTACTTGGACTGGATGTAAGTGTAAATATATTCTTATATGTTACTCCTGGTTACTTATCTAAATGAAAATCTTGAAAAGGACTGTAGAAATTCGTTTGACAAATTACTTTTCTCACGGTCAATACTCTTTAATGATTCGGCAAGTGTTATCACCGATGCTTGCTTTCTTATCACCTAGGCAACCAAGTGTTTTAATATGTTGATGCACACAGCATAAGGTTGCGGCTAAACTCTTTTAAAATTAAAATAAAACTTTTTCTCCAGGAGTATTTTTACTATACTGTTTTGGAAAATATTTTTTACCTATAAGTATTTATTTGCCCTCTCTTTCTTATGTTTAAACTCATCAATTATCAGAATGAAATATTTATTACAAAACTTCTTCAGACAGTTTATTTTTAAATTTTCTCATAAATTGTATAGGGATTTCTAAGAAGGTAGAATGTTTATCACTTACGCTTCCGTGATTCTCCTAGATACTCAATAAAAGAAACATGCTTCCCAAATTTAAAGTCTGCAGATCTAATAGTTCAAAAATACTAATCTTTTACCCATTGCAACCCTCACAAACCAACTCTCCCTTTCTTGGGAGTAGACAAGCACAGACTTTGTAACTTTGAACCTATGTCAGGTGCCGAGAATGACACTAGAACTGGCACCCCACTCTCCAAACTTCCATACCGCGCCAGTGAAAGATTTAATGTACAAAAACCTATTCTAAAAGGCAAGCAGAAACATCTTAAAGCATTGGCAATTGAGCTCGGCCCCAGGGCTTTGTCTCGTTTTTGACTCAGCTTTAATAAAATCATAATCCTTCATCTAATAGTCGAATGCTTTTCACACATATATTATTCGAAAAAACTGAAAATTTCGAGTCGTATGCTAACTCAGTGCTTCTCAAAGTTTGAATATTTGCGACCCAGCATTCAATCATAATTTTCATCGCACCCCTCTCCGTACAAACACAATGTATTGGATTCAATTCTAGGCTTTGAAGCTAAAGCAACAATATGACTTGAACCTCTTAAGTGCCACCGGCGTATATAAACGTCTCTCAGCTAAAGCATTAATTGTCCCAGAGGTATATATACGTGTTTCCGAAGTACGATTTTTTCTGTGTACTGATATCCATAAAATTATTCCGAAGACTTTGGGATGCAATAAAATGACCTTGAATCTGTTTGCGAAGGATTTACTTATTTCAGAGGATTAGCTTTTTTATTCCTTTTCTCCTCCCCCACTCCCCAATACGCGCGCTTACGGGGAAAACGGTGGCATTGGGGAATGAATGGCGTGACTTTTAATCAGCGGTTAAGGGATGAATTTTAAACCGTACAAAATATCAAGGTAAGTGTTAGATTTTGTGCATAATTCTATATATGACAAGCCCATAGGCTACTGGTAATTATTAAACTTGTTCTTAACTTAATACTGTTGAATTAATTATAAGTGTGTATCAATGCTGCACAATGTATTTCTTAAGTGTATTATAAATGTGCGTTTTATTTTTTATTATGTCGGAATATATTTCGTTTGCTTACTTTCAATAAATAATTTTTTGTTTTCGACTTTTCAATATAATCCCCCCTTGTAGTGTTATTACGCCCCCTGGGGGGCGTACCTCAGAGTTTGAGAAACACTGTGGTAACCGGCAATAGTGGCAAGATTTCATTATTACGTCATATGCGTGTCTTCGCCTTGGTCTACAACCGTTCACCATCATTAGTCACTTATAGAAAGGCGGCAGTCTGTCAAGTTGGTTTGAGCTTAGACTTCTGAGATTGTGAGTCATGTTCCTTTATTTCTCTCAGATTATCTTTTGTACGAGTGTTTGACAACATATATACTGTCTCTTGTTAATAGTCATTGGTAGGGTCTACTTTTGCATAGGGGCCCAAGGCATCAAGAAGTCCTTAGTGGATTCAGAAGTTGAAACTAAAACACGAAAAAACTAACGATGATCACGAATTTGCTACCATGATTACTAGTAACGTCTCTGGTTTTGTTACTCTTCTAAAACTATCCCTTTTGCATATATTTAGTTAAAATAAAATAATTGTTGAATCATCAATATTTCTGTAATTTTCATGCTCTCTCTCAGTGAATACTTATTTAGAATATACCACGCAGGTACTCTAAGCTATTACTCTTAAATTACGATTTTTGTTTTTACTCTTCTAAGAGATCCAATCTCATTCGTATCTTCTTTAAACTAAGCGTAAAAAAAATATGATTTGAAAACTAAGAAATTGAAAATTTCTGAAGACAATGTGATCATATTTGCAAACAAATAATATGAAAAAAAGTCAATTCCTACTTAGGTCAACAAAGAAATATTTTATTTTAGTTATTTTTTATTAAATATTTACAATATAAAAATATGTATATATATATGACAAAATCGCAATATTAAATGACAAAATAGAAAACGATTTTCCTTGCGATTTTCCTTTTTCTTCTCCATATAGGGTGTTGAGATATTTTTTGTTTTTGTTACTATTTATTTATTAATTAACATTAGTTATTCTAATAAAATAGTATAGTGAAAGAAATATCACATTCTCCGATATTAGGCCATCCCAGGTGGGATAGGAACCCACGACCTTTGGATTAAAAGTTTAACGCTTTATCCGTTAGCTACAAGGACACAACTAACAAAGAACTTTCCTTTCATATATGCTATTGAACTATTAATTTTGTTTGTTTCTGTTTATTCATTTTTTAATTTAATAAATGAATTAATATTTGAAAATACTGTAATAACATCAAATGTCATCCACTACAGGTTTTAAAAAATGTACTTGAATTTGAATGGGTGAAAAGAAATTATTTTGTTAAGGATCAAAAATTTGATATATAAGAACTTTATATAATATATCAAAAACAAGAAACAGTAAATAATGAACATAACAAGGAATAACGTAATAAAAATATAAAAGAAAAATATAAAGATAGAATTTATAGAAAAATACAAAAAAGGAAGTTCAAAAAAGAACATAGCAAAAAGCAGTTTCGGACTTAGGACCAAATAAGTGGAGTTAAACTAGTTTGAAGGTGCCAACATTCCCCGTTTGCAACTCGGTAGGAAAAAGTAAATAAAATAAATAGAAATTCAAAATATATAAAAATTCACAGAAAGTATGAGAAAACCACCGACTAATATTCTGCAACAAATCCTCCTAAAATCTTAAAGTAGAAAATTACTTAAGAAAAATACCCTAAGAAAAGGATTCTTTAAAAAAGGATTTAACAAAAATTCTACTCACAGAGCTTTTACCAAGAGTGCCAAGAGTCTTGAAAATAATCGAAAGCTACTATTCACTGAGTTAAAAATCCAGATTATACATAAACACATCTTTCAAACCAGCAAGCAAAGGTTGAGTTAAATATATATATATATATACAGAGAGAGAGAGAGAGAGTGAACTAATAGCAGGAATTGAAAAAAAATATATGGTTTGAAAACTAGGAAATTGGAAATCTCTGAAGACAATGTGATCATACTTGCAGAAAATAATAAATATGTGCATACATAATGCACCTTTTTCAAATAAAAAAGCCAAATTAAGTCACATTTTATAAATATTCTATAACTAGAATTGCTGGAAAATGTTTTCCACAAAACAAAAAAACTAGAATTTATTTAAAAAGAGAAGTTTATTTTTCACAATTTTTTTCCTTACAGTCTTTTTTCTTGTTATCTTCAGTCATCCTTTTCAGTACATTTTTTTTAATGTTTTAATTTTTGAAGTTACTATAGAAAATACAAGTACGTCGAAATCTTTATTCGTAAATAGTTGTTAGTAAGACAGAGGTAATCCTATTTTCTCTCAGAAGGGAATGAACATTTCCGAAAAGTGTATTACGGAGATTATGTTATACGCACTTAAATAGGAGGATTAAGAAAGGATCTCGTAACAAAATCAAATTAAAAAAAAACATTTTGTAAAACCAGTTGCAACAACAGAAGACTATTTTCTTTATGTGGATTGCTTTTATTTTATTCTCGGCTTGAGAATCTTGTTTTTTGTTAAAAATTTGTTCGGCGTGGGTCGATCTATTTTTCTGGAGAGAAATGTTTTTTTTAAAGAAAAAAGGTTCTAAAACATATTCTTATGAGAAGAGTTGCGAAGAGTATTATGTGTTTGAGACTTTACAGAGACATAGTTATATTCTCTCATGATATAAACAAATAAATGTATCTTTGTTAGAATAAATGTAATGTTAAGAAAAAATTAATTAAAAATAAATTAAATTTTTTAAAAAAACTAAAAAACACTCTTTTATAGTTAATCGAGCTAAAAAGTAAAAAATAATTCTTAATATAAGAATAAAATTATTAACGAGAAAATTAATGTCATTGTGGTAAAAGTGAGGGGTGCTCGATATCTATTGCTACAATTTCTTACTAGTTCTATTCCGAAATGTAGAGTTAAAGTATCTGACTACGTTCGGAACCGTGATTTTAAAAAAGCACATACATGGATAATATTCATGATATTTATGGTCACTTAGATTATAATACATGTATAAAATTGTTTTAAGGATATTTTGACAAAAAAAAAGTTATTTGAATACAATATTTCGGCTAAAAATTAGTCAAGAATAACCTTTTTCAAAATGTTCTCCTTTTGTGAAAAATACTATTATAATAATATTTTTCTGCATATAGCTCAGACCTCTGTACAGAGGCTCAACTATGATTTTTGAAACATTCACATTATTTTCGGAGTTACAACCATTTGAAATAATTATTGGCGTTTTTCTCTTAAAATTTCTCCCCTCTGTTGTCGTAAAACATGGATAAACCCACTTCTAAGTTATATATTTCAAAAGTACAGAGGTCTGAGCTATATACGGGCAAAATGTTATTATAATAGAAGCATTTTTCACAAAAGAAGAATTATTTTGAAAATGGGTCATTCTATGTTCATTTTTTATAAAAATATTGTACTTAAATCATTTTTTATTGTAATACTATTCTGAAAACAATTTTATATACATTTTCTAATCTAAGTGACACTAAATATCATAAATATTATCCATTTATACGCTTTTGCAAAATCACGGTCCCGAACGTAGTCGGATACCTTAATGTAAAAATATGGTACAACGCACCCCTCACTTTTACCACAACGACATTAATTTTCTCTTTAGTCGTTTTATTCTGATATTAAGAATTATATTTTACTTTTAAGCTCGATTCACTATAAAAGCGTGTGTTTTTTAGTTCTTTTAAAATTTATTTTATTTTTCCTTTTTTTAGTTTGATCCACTATAAAAGCATGTGCATTTTTAGTTTTTTAAACTACTCATGATAATTAATATAAAATGCGTCATTTTTTAACATCTGGAATACCCATTGGAATCCTATCAGTGCGTCGATTCGGCCTGGTTTAAAAAATGTAGGATAAGCCAACTGAAGGAAATCTGGAAGAGCTAAGTTTGAAATATTTAATGCGGAAGAAGGTGTTAAGTCAATGATATTTTTCACTAAAAAGATAGCCCTATATTCTTTCTAAAACTTGCATCAACATTACATAAAAAGTGTCGAACAATACGTGTACATTACATAAAAGTACACGTTTTGAATTGAAGAGTTTGTGAGAAATTAGTTAATCCGGTGACCCCTTTGAATCCATTCTCAGCTGTTTTGGTAGTCGCCAAATCTGTAATTAATCACCAATTCTGGAAATGTGATCTGGCGTTATTTATCAATTCTGGAAATGAAAAATCGCTAATCCTGATCAGAATAATGGAACAAAATAATTAAATTATTGCATTGCCATCGGTCCTTGACATGTGTGCAAAATTTCGAATTAATCTGATCTTTTAAAGTGGGTAAAAATCGAGTTCAAAGATTCCATTACATACAAGTAAAACTTATAAAGAGTGTTAATATTTATAACTTAAGCTAGTGATTTTCATTTTTTTTTCGACTCATAGTGATCTTTTTCTGAAAAAAAATGTGCCATAACTATCTCAATCCGGAGGTTGTCGGTTTACAGTTTGGGACACCGAATAATCAAGCATTGTCATAAAATTAATCCCTTTTATTTCAGTCTAATCGATTTATAATCTATTAAGGATTATAAACAAGGGTGTGAAATTTAATTTAGTTCATTATCTTAAGCTTATAAAATGATTAATTAAACACTTGTATGAGTTTGATTCTATAGTAGAGCACTTGTATGATCTCTCCTAGATTGGCAATATTCTAATCCAAATGTTCTTCTAATTTATCTTTTCGTTTCCGAAAGGTAATCTCACATGAATGATAGCGTAAGAACTAACACAAGTACACCCAATGCCAAAGTTTAAATAGCACTCAAATCAACACAATATCAAATTCTCTATACGGAAGGAGGTTTTAAACTCAAACCACAGTTAAAGAAAATTTCTCAAAGAGGATTAATAGGATCAACCTGAAATAAAATATGATTAAAGAAAAAAAAAGGGATTGATTATATTAATGTCGCACGGTAAAAACAACACAAGAAATTTTGTCGAACAAACCTCGCAACTTTGAGCGTCGGTTGAAAGGAGTCTAAGTGGTGTTAATTTTCTCTCTAGAAGGCTGAAAATATAAACAATATTCAAATATATACAACTCTTTGAAATTAAAATTAAATAATTCGAATATTTTACACATTTATAAAGGGATGGGGCTTCAGAAAAGTGTAAAATATAATCATAGTTTTAAAAATTATAAGCATATGAAAATGAGAAACATTTTCTATAAGAAATATTAAGTTTTACGTTGCGCACGTTTTTTTCTAAAATAAAAGCCTTAATTACTAGCAATAAGTTGATTTATAAAGGTAAATGTATCCTTATTACACAGTAGTATTTTTATATAAATATAAGAATAAATTTTATTTTTTTAAAATTAAAATAAAATTACATTTCCAATTTCTTTTTTTTTTTTAATTTCAATATTTTTCAAATATTTTGAATTACAAAAGAAATATTATTCTTAAATTAAATAGGGTTTAAAGAGTATGATACATTTTATAATTCTATAAAGTTTTATACATCAAAGGCTACTATTTTAGAAAATAGCGTGCGCAAAGCAAAAATTACTTAATATTCATCACACAAAATTATTTCTTATTTTCGTATGCTTATAATCTTTAAAATTATAATTATATTTCAGACATTTTGTACTTTTTTCAAATCATTATCCTTTGTAAATAATGTGTAAGAGATTCGAATTATTTAATTTAAATTGAAAAGAATTGTACCTGTTTGAAAAATTTATACATTTTTACCCCCTCGAGACAAAATTAACTGCCCTGAGACCCTTTCTGACGAAGACGACTCCTCTCCAAACTACCACACAACGCCAACTGGAGAACTTTGAACCACAACAGATTTAATGTGCATCAGCCATTTCCTTAGAGCGAATTCAATGGTCCTAAGATTTGTACTAATGAGACGCTAGCCCGTGAGCTCATGACCATGGCCACTAGTCTACGGTGACCACCGCAAAGTTTAAGACTCCTCCTTCCCCGTCTTAAGCAAATTGAAATTGTACTCGGCGATAAAAAAGATGTGAAAACTTCCTAGATATTTCATTCAACAACCCAACTCTAATAATCATAAGATGATAGTTACTATAGTTGCTTTCAGTTGCAGTTTTTAAAT